GGTGGTGCTTTATGACAATGACTGCGATGAAAGTCTTTCCTAGGCCCGTGTTCAACTTAATGATGACGCTTTCGTGTTTGGCGATTTCGGCCATTTCCACCTGGTAGGGCCGGGCGGCCAGTTTTTCCTGTTTAGGTGTTTGCACAGATTTTCGTCCAGATTTCATATTCTTGGAAGGATTTCCAGCACCTGACAATGCACCCATTGAGAGAAGTTTACATATACTACAAAAAGGCTAACTTCAGTGATTGTATTGAAAGTATTTTTATATAATTAAACTATCCTAGGCCTTTAAAAAAGTTTAAACTGTTTGTGAGTAGAGGCCAAATTCATAAATGTTGTTGATCAGGTCACCTATATGAGGGCAGATTCGGACAAATTTACAAATTAAAAAAGAGCTGGTGAACCAGAACTAGACTGATCAGTGTCATTTGAAGAATATAAAATGTAATGTGTGCTTTTATCGTATTACTTTCAATAGAATCTGCTCTACCGTTAAATTTCACTCGTTGATTAGGTCCCACAACAGTGCCAGTCTATTCAGAACTTAAATCCACAAACAATGTGATTGGAAAAATCCGCAATTTTTATGACACGGTGCAAATTCGGCAAACCTAATCGAGCTGTCAGCTTTAAGTTGAATGTGTGAAACTGAAGGTCCTTGATTCCTTACCTTTGCATGCATTAAATCGACAATTCTTCGGTGGTAATGGATACTGACATAAAAGCATTCAGCTAATGGTAAATTTAATTAGCATCAGCATGAAAGTGTCTATGCTGGCGCGGCAATTGCTCTCACTGGCATGAAAAGGAGGTCAGTCTTCGATTTTATGATTATGGGGATCGCTGACTCGCCACAACCGATACTGAGGTCATAGCTACTAAAACACGCGCCCATCTAAACTACCACAATTGGGGTCAAATCGCGGACATCAATAGAAAGGCGGTATTTATTCTGTACAGAACTCTGGGCTGCTGTCTCGCGTGCCAGTAGTCGATAATGAGCTGAGGGCAGCGTTAGGTCGTGCCTGGGAAGGTTGAACCTGGGTGGTCTGTTGGTTTGTGGGAGCTAGGACAAGGATCCTATGGTTGGGTGTCCGCGAGTATAAAGCAAATTCAGCACGGGTTCTCATGACTAGCCGGACGTGCGATGCTGTCGATCAGACTGTGAAGTCAGCTGTTCGGATGCGTCTGCAACCAAGAAGCACTGCCTACAAGCGATACAGTATTAGACGTGTTCTGAACTGCTCCGATGATCGGTCACATAATCGTCGCATGATTACCGTCCGCGCAGCCGAGTAGTTTTCTGCCAAGCGTAAAAAGTCAGTTGCATGCAGCCTCAAAGCTGCAAACATTGACCTGTTGAGCAGGGCTGACAATTGGAGACGCGACAAAAACTTTTAAAAGAACAAGAGCTCTTGGAGGCTGCAACCTTAGTGGGGACTAAAAGCGGTACACAGATGGAAAAATAGGTGAGCTCGTAACTAATAAATAGCTCTAAGTTTTCCACCACGTCTCCGTTCGCTAATTTAATTGTCGACACAAACAGCGAAAAAAAGAGATTATTATTATTTCGTAAATGTGACAACAAGATATTAGGAGAAGATGAAAAGGCGTATAGTTTCCATGATGGCAATGAGAATACCATCGATCACAGTAACCAGAGAGCTGACTGACGCCACCGTCGCGGCGTCATGTTGGAGTGCACGATGTGCACCGTGTGCTTCACATCAAGGTGAGCGCAGGCGCGGTGACTTGCGCGTGAATTAGGGTGTGATTCCTGGCTCGCTGATTACGGTAGGTCTGTGGTATGCTATTATCATCATGGATCTGACGAATACCACTGAGACAATGAAACAAGCGAGAAAGCGATGACGAAGCTTTGGAACGATTTACGCAGATACTTGAGCAGCTGGTTAGGGACATGTCAGCACAAATCGCAAACGGTCTCCTGAGCGTCTGAAATAACGGGGTTGGTTACCCGCACACACCCTCTGCGTTCTCCAGTCGTCGGCATGCTGATGGACGCCTACCCTGAGGAGTTAATCGGAACCAGAATCAGACGCATGCAGATAAATACCAGAACTTGTAATGGGATTATACGGGACCAAAACATCGCGGATGACTGCGCGCTACATAGCGGTACGATCGAAGATGTCCACCGTATGCCCCCCACATCATGGGGGGGTGGAGAGACGTGACTTACGCGTGATTATTATGACAGTAGAAATTCGCGGAAACTACCACACTCTCCTTCCTTGCTCTCCTAAGCCCTGTGTGAAGAAAGAGGCAAGAAGACCGAAGTCGGAATCGGCTGACAAAACTAGACGGCCCGTCTGCGTGTGCCACGCACGCGATGAGTCATGTCTTCGGAGAATCACGGGATGGTCGACTCAGACCCCAAACGAGTGCGAATGTCATAAAGACTGCATTCTTAAGAAGTCATTGCAGCCTGAATTTTTGTCCTCGGAGGGCCGAGTCATCTCTCGGCAGTTGGCAGCCTTCCACGCCACGACTGATAACATACCGTCATAGCACAAAAGTGTGCCAGACACCAGTTAACCGTCTGAGCCGGTAAGTCATCTGATGCGGGGATTGGGTGCAAGTGGCCGACAGAGCTAGACAATCTGTCTACGCGTGCCTCACAAGACCTGGCTCCTCAGCACAACGTGTAAGGGTTTGGTGTCCCAGATCTCACATGCGAGCACCAAGGCATTCGATCAACCGATTTTTGTAAGACCCTGGAGTGTGATAGAGCACAAGAGAGCATATGTGTGTACGGATTTTAAAATTATCTACAAATCCATAACCCTCAGACCAGTCCCGTGGAGGGGACATACGCCGGTGGAGGGAGCCTGGTATTCTGTACGGGCCGGATGAAGAGTAAGTTTTAGGGGATGTTGGAATTCGGACGGGATACGACAGCCCCGCGCTTACCGTGGCAGGCATCCAAGTGTCTTTTTTGTTAGAGCATGAGCACCTCAGTCTCGAAGTTGATTGGCCTGTCAAGATGACCGTGATTTGCTGGATGCGATAACAACCTCGGTAGACTAAGCTTTCATAAATGCAGGCGATCAATGCTTAAGCAATGCCAGTACTTCAAACCTTTTTACACACCACCCAATTCGGACGGCATTATCATTTTAAGCACCTTTAAATGGCTTGTTCGAATACCTTTCAGGCTTATAATTACTTTGTTTACTTGCTTGCAAACGGGTTTAACTGATTTTTGCAAATGTGAGTCATACTTGCAGGAACTGAAAGTATGGCACGGAATCAAATGTGGTTATGTAGCCCCACCTGAAGCAAACAAAGCCCAGCCACCTGTAATACGGGACTGATGGTAATAGGGTATTTTACAGGTGGGGCCAGGGAACGCAAGGGCGACAAGGTCAGATCGTCGTATGCAAAACAACAGTTACTGGGAACGCGCGGCTGTACTTTGAGTGGTTGAGAAATAGCTGTCCTAACCCTAATCTAACCCATTACCCCTAACCTTAACTCCCTAACGCTAAGCCCTATCTCTGGCCCAAATCCTAACCCTAATCCTTAACCGCGACGCTAAACCCTAATCCTAAAACAGTCACCGAGAAAGTTAGAAGAAGACGGCAGGCCGAAAGTCAAGAAGGACCACCGACAGTGTGCCGAAAAAGATAGACACGGCAACAAAGAAACAAGGCCGTCAACAGACCACACACCGCAACGCACAGCAGCACCATGCCAACATAATCACGCCAACTCAAAACAATTAACTAGGTCAATAGTATGATGTCAATCAGGTGCAGCTACATAACCAAATTTTACCGGACAGGGGAATATGTACCTCCAACCTGTGATACAGGTGGCCTTCCGATGATCTCCGGGAAGGGTACATCCTGGGTTAGGGGTAAGGTGTAGGGGAAGGGTTAAGGGTTAGGACAACTATTTATCAATCACTCAAAGTACAGCCGCACACTCCCAAAAGCTTCTCTTTAACGTGCCAGACACCAGTCCACTCTCCGAAGCGGTCAGTCACCTGATGCGGGGATTGGGTGCAAGGCTTGCAACCCCTGACGGTAAGACGCGGTAATAGATACCCCCTACCACGCAATACAGGTGGCCTTTCGATAAATTTCAGGAAGGGTACCTATTTCAGCATGACAGTTCGACCGTTATTTCCGACTATGCCCACCGTGTGCTCCACAGCAAGGTGAGATCAAGGACGGTGACTTGTGCGTAAATTAGTTTATAGTGGTGGTAGACCTGCACAGCATCTATCGCACCCTCCACTCCCCCACCTGGACATGATGCCAAGACAGAGTCAAGAAGACCGGAGGCGGGGAGGGTGCAGGTGGATTGCACGGTCGAGCCCTCAACTTGACGCTCCACTCCACACTCCCTGGTCCATACGGCAAATGACCAGGTTTTTGACCAACAAGAAACAATGGGGACGACAGGAATCCCAGTGTGCGTGATGTCTGCCGGCAACGGGGTCTACCACCGCAACCCGAGATGTTGGCATTGGTTATGGTGCGCGTATTCGATAGCGCCTGCCAGGATCCGATATGGCCCCCATGTTAGTCCAGCGTGTCTACCACGTGGCTCATTTTGGGGGCACACCTATTTCAGCATACTAACCTTAACGTTAAATGTAATATCGACCACAACCCAAACCCTTAGCTTCATCACAGTTCTGCCTTTAACCTTAATTTCAGTTCCAGCAGTAATTTCACTAAAATTTAATTTGAGGTCGCCTGTATTATGGGAAGGGGGAGCGTTCTAGTTCCCTTGTACTGCCGAATGTCTGGTCCAGACTTCCGGGGAGCTTGTGAGGGCCTACAGCATTCACAGTAGGTCACAACTCTCAGTCAACGAAGAAATACTGGTCGGCTTGTAATAGGGCCTCTTCTACTCAGACGTCCGAAAGTCTGTCACCTCCACTGATCTTTTTTCGTTCTTCCATTCGACGTTGTGCCGTTTCACAACTTATATTGACTACCTAGAGTTGTTTCGGTAAGATATGGCTATATAGCCCCACTTGATGGACACAATACTGTTGTGTTTGGGGTTAGGGTTAGGGACTAGGGTCAGGGTTGGGTGTTAGGGCCACTATTTCTCAACCACTCAAAGTACAGCCGCGCATTCCCAGTAGCTTTTCTTTTACATACAACCACTTAAACTTGTCGCCGGTGCGTTGCCTGTCCCCACCTGCGAAAACCCGTATTACCACCGATCCCGTATTCCAGGTGGCTGGGGTTGGTTTACTTCATTTGGGGCTACATAATTACATCTGACATTTGTTTCATCTTACTGCTTGGGGACACCATCTAGAGACCATACTACAACACTTTTCAGGTCTCAAATATCGTGAAAACTGCAGATTAGGCGGGGCCGGGGAACGCACAGGCGACGAGGTTAAACAGTCGTATGCAAAAGAATAGCTATTAGGAATGCGCGGTTGTACATTGAGTGGTTGAGAAATAGTTGCCCTTACCCCTAACCCTAACTCCCCAACCCCTATCTATAGCCAAAATCCTAACCATAAACCTTAACCGCAGCCCTAGACCCTAATCCTACAACATCCAACGCGAACGTTAGAAGGGGACGACAGGCCGAAAGTCAAGAAGGACCACTGGCATTGGGCCAAAAAGGTAGACACGGCAACAAAAAAACAAGGCCAGCAACAGAACACACACCGCAACGCACAGCAGCACCATGCCAACATAATCACACCAAATCAAAATAATTAGGTAGGTCAACAGTATGGTGTCCATCAGGTGTGGTTACATAGCCACATCTTACCAGACAGGGGAATAGATACCCCCAACCTGTGATACAGGTGGCCTTCAGATAAGTTTCAGGACGGCTACATGCTGGGTTAGGGGTAAGGTTTAGGAAATAGGGTAAGGGGTTAGAGCAACTTTCTTAACCACTCACAGTACAGCCGCGCATTCCCAAAAGCTTCTCTTTTGCGTGCTAAGCATCAGTCCACTATCCGAAACGGTCAGTTACCTGATGCGGGGATTGGGTGCAGGGCTTAAAAGACCTGACGGTAAGACGCGAGAGTAGATACCCCTCTACACCGTAATGCTGGTGGCCTTCCGATAAGTTCCGAGAGGGGTACCTATTTCAGCATGACAGTTCGACCGTCGTTTCCGATGATGCCAGCCGTGTGCTCCACAGCAAGGTGAAGCAGGGACGGTGATTTGTGAGTGAATTAATGTATAGTGACCGTAGTATTGCACAGCATCTACCGCACGCTCTCCTCCTCCCCCAGCTGGACCCGGTGTCAAGACAGAGCCAAGAAGACCGGAGGCGGGGGGGGGGGGGCGCAGGTGGATGGCACGGTCGAGCTTGAACTTTGGCGCTCCGTTCCACACACCCTGGTCCATACAGTAAATGACCGGAATTTTAACCAACAACAAAAGTGGGAGGACGGCAGGGGTCGCAGTTTGCGCGACGTCAGCCGGTCACCGGTTCTGTCGTCGCATCCCGAAATGTAGGCATTTGTTATGGTGCGCAAACTCGATAACGCCTGCCAGAATCCGATATGGCACCCGTGTTGGTCCAGCGCATCGACCACGTGCCCCGTTTGGGGGGGGGGGGGGCACAGACTAACTACCAAATACGATTGCGCCTCCGTACTCCTGTGGTGTCATCACTATCCGTAAAAAAACTATTTGAGCATATACTCTATCTTCGTGGCATGATTTACGAAAGCTAGGTAACAGATGAGAACGCTCTTCATGATTCAAAAATCCGAGCTATGAAAAGCTTGAAATGTAGAAAGATCGCGAAATTTCAGAAAACAAATCTCACGACAGGAAGACCCGTTAACCTAGTTGCCAGCCTGCTACGGCCTGCAGCGAAAGTTAATGGCGAAATAAGCAGGCTCTAGGGTCTGACAAAGAAGCAGCCGCGGACAAACAGTCGCAGTGCTTCGAGAGTACGGAGGGTCGAGGTCTGGTGCGCGCAGTCGCCGATGACAAAGAAGCAAAAAAAGTTCCGGCTAGTTTTCTCAAATACCTCTCGTTGGATTGATGTGGGTCCCTTGGGCCTCGAACAGTGAGACAGAACAATCATCAGAAAGCCAAACGGAATTACACAGTTGTCAGTTGAAAAATGCAGTCACGAGGTCTGTAGACTATATCAATTTCTTGACTCCACCAGCAAATAGCCTGGGGACGTCTCAAGAAACCAATTTTTCCACGCAACCTGAAGACGGTGGTACACGGTGAAAGATAACAAAAAATGGGTTCCCCGAAAGTAATTCAAATTTGTCGACGACAGGTGAAAGTATACCTCAAACAAGTACTACTCAAAATCACCCTAAAGGCCTAACTGATACATGATAAGGTAAAGATAGTATCGTCATACGACAAGAGACATGAGTCACGGGCGAGTGCTGTGAGGATTTTATAGAGTTATTCATGAGCGATAAGGACAGGAAGAATGAGACATACGAGAGTTAGACGGCCGATCGCACAGAAGATATGGGAAAACACCGGTGAAGATCCACGAGCGCAGTGCCGGGAGGTCGACAAATGTCCACGAATTAAAGTTGGGTTCCTGTGTCCCTCGGTGTAAGCCGAATTACGGGAGGTTTGGCTGGAACTGTGGGGGAAATTTAAGAGAAAACACTAGAATGTCAGGTGTGTGTGTACATGGATTAGTATAATTGATGAAGGTGCGGAAAATAACATTAATAAGGAATTAGCGGTCAAAGGGTTGGAGAAAGCGTTAAATGTGAAAGAAGTATGTCTAGTTGGACGAAACTTGTTAAAAGGGGCATAACTGGGCTGTGGAAAAGTGATTTATTTATTTTCCTTCCAAGGGTGTCTAGAGGGGTACAAAACCAAAATACCCATTCCATGGGCGATTGACTGAGACCTTCAGGAGACAGTAGTGGGCGACGAGGGAGAAAACAATAAGCGCTACGTTTCTGTATACTTTGCTGTGCCCAGTACGCACACGTATACGCAAACTACGTTGTCTTGCAAATAAAAACTGGCGGCAGCACCACAAAGACACGAGGGAATGAAGAATGGCACGTCAACTACCTTCCAAAACGACGCAAACCCAGACGACGGCACTTTGACATGGCAACCATGAACAGCAAGTTACTAAGTTCGCTCGCCCATGTTGTCTCGTAGTTATTACCTGAGTCAGGCCGATAGGGGGGACAACCTCAAGCAAACAGCCTTAGCAACTGTTGGGGAACCGTTTGTGCTCAAGATACCCAAGAAACCTCATGTATGAAATGTCCGACGATGTTTTTACAATCCATGCTATAGTGTCCGCAGCCATACTTCGGTGGTGATTTTTTCTGATTTGATACGGCTGCGATCATGCCTCATCTACCCGGCCTCGATGATGTCCCGAACTGCACCTCTCCACGCGTGACGATCTGCGACAGCAGATCTGGACAGTTCAACTCATTCAGTTCACCAACTACGGAGACCGAATACCGAAGGTCCAAGAACTACCTCCATGTCTTGACGAACTGTGTCGAGCCGGGTTTTGAGTTGACCCCCTCTTCGACGCTCCCAATGGGGCAACGGTGCCGGATCAAGGGCAGTAACACTGAGCTCCTGAGGTGGACGACGAAGAACATGCCCAAACCACCTCAGTCGTCGTTGTTGGATGGCCTAAGTTATCCTTGCGACGTTGTCGCAGCGAGCACGGACTGTCTCATTTGAGACGAAGTCGGTATACTTCACTCGAAGGATGATCCTCAGGCAGTGGTGATCAAATACCTCCAGTTTTCGCTCGTCCTCCACGCGCAAAGCCCAGCATTCACGACTGTAGAGGACAGACCGGACAGATGCACGGCACACGCGAATCTTAGTGGTGATGGAGAGGTTGAGTCGGATTCATTGACATTTTCGAAGGCTTGAGAAAACCCGGCGGGCAGCATCAATTCGGGAGACAATGTCATCCTTACTCTGCCCATTACGCAACAATTTCGCATCGAGGTATTTAAAGCTGTCTACTTCTTCAAGTTGACAGTCATCAATCCCGAGAAGTGCCTCCCCCTGGTCAGAGATGCAGCTTGAAAACACCTGGGTCTTTCCAGCGTTTATGGATAAACCGACCGATTTAGCGACCTCGTTCACTCGTGACACCAAAGACTGCAAATCACCAAAACTTGAAGCAAGTAAGGCGATATCATCGGCATTGTCGAGGTCAGTCAGTCGGTGTCGGGGTGCAAACTCAACACCGTCACCTTCGTGTAGGGCCCTCCCGAGAATTCAGTCAATAGGATAGTTGAATAGAATTGGTGACGGGATACAATCCCGTCGAACGTTAGACCGAATACCAAACGGTTGGGTAAGATTGTTGCGGACCAGGATTCTCGCAGTAATGGAGCGATAATAGGCCTTGACCATGGCGATTATTTTTGCCGGTACATCATCTAGCGACATTACCCGCCACAGGGACTCAAGATGGATGAAATCGAACGCGGCGGCAAAGCCAATGAAGCAGACGGCCGTCGGCTGTTGGTAGCCACGGCGAAATTCGAGCATGCACCCCAGGGTGAATATCTGGTCTGCGCATCCACGTCCGGCACGAAATCCGGCTTGATTGGGCCTGGTCCTTGAGTCACGCACGGCCTAGAAGCGCCTGAGTAGGACAATAGCGAAGATCTTCGCAGCAACGTCGATGAGACTTATGCCGCGGTAGTTCTCGCATCTCGTCTTATCTCCCTTCTTGAGGATAGGTACATGGATGCCTAAGCTCCAGTCATCAGGAACAACCTCGTCTCTCCACGCTCGTTCAATCACCTCATGGAGCCAGGGTGCCAGAGTGTCGACACAAGACTTGTAGATTTCGGCGGGTATACCGATCTTTCCGGGTGCCTTATTGTTGCGTGGCTTTCGTTAGCATCAACGACTTCTCCGTCAGAGGGGGGGGGTCGCATGGCACCGCATAGGTGGGAGAGGGAAGAAACTCCACTGAAGAGGAGAGCAAGGACGTGGTGGGTTGGGTGTCGAAGTTGAGATGGTGCTCGAAGTGCACACGCCAGAGCTCGACTTTGGCCGAGTTGTCAGCAATAAAGCCGCCATTCACGTCGCCAACAGAGTCACTCAGTGTGGACGATTTACCGCTAACTTGGCGGAGTTTTAGAGTGTCACCAAAGTTCGAGGCCTGTTCCATGGAGGTCGCCATTTCAGCCCAGTATTGCTTCCGGTCATCCCTAGCCGATTTTGCCGTCATCTTTCGAAGTTGGTGGAAGCAGTCATCGTTACGGGCCCTAGCTCGAGCCGTCTGAGCAGACAACTGCACGGTTCTTCCGCTGATCCAGTCACTGCGGCGTCGTTGGGTGTATCCAAGGATTTTCTCAGCTGCCCCACAGACTGACGTTTTTAGTGACGACCACCGGTTACTGCCTTCTCCGTCGGTTCGGGTCGTAAAACAGGAGCGGATTTCTCTGCTCAGGGCCTCAGCAGTGCTGGTTTGCCGGATTTTTGCGACATCGAGGCGTCTAAGACGTGACATTTTTGGCGCGGATGAAAGATGAGCTTTCAAGCGTGCACGAACGAGGACATGGTCCGACCCATGAACGTTACCAGTCTCGGCACCACGCATCGATCTGCTATCATAAAACCAGCTGCGGAACCTTGGGCTGACTAGTATGTAATCAATCTGACTGGCCGTATGGCCGTTGTTTGAATATAAGGTCAGCAGATGTTTTTGCGATGCTGGAAACATGTGTTGGTGACAAGCAGTCGGTTTCGATCAGCGAAGTTCAGCAATCTCTCACCATTTTCACACCGGGAACCAAGTCCAAAGCGGCAAAGAAGATGACTGGTTGTGGAGTCGCCAGGTCCAGTTCGACCATTCAAATCGCCAGCAACAATCATCAGATCGCGGCGAAGCAATCTTTCAACTAACGCTTGCAACTGTGAGTAAAACGCCTCTTTATCGGGCTGTTCGGCAGCCGAAGATGATGCGTACACAGAGATGATTGAGATGTTCGTGAAGTGATCCTTCAGTCGCACGTTGACCATCCGGTCATCGACTGGTTCCCAAGCAAGTAGCGCGGAGTCCGCTTGTTGCGATAGGACGATCGCCACACCGTGTCGACCGGAAGAGTCGCGCGGGCTGCTGTGGTACAGAGCAAAGTGTGATTCGACTCCAGGGACCTTTATCTTGCGGGAGTTTGAGTAAGGAAGTCGAACTTCAGAGAGACAACAGATATCCACGTTGTACTGATAAAGGCTGCGCGCGGTCAGACTTTAGGTACCGGGGTCAAGGAACGTTCGCATATTCCAGAATCCAATACCAAGAGTCAGTCCCCGATCGAGTAGTCCAGCTCGCATACTATTCGCCCGCACCACTGGACCAGGGTTGCGGAGCGCGTCCGTTCCCGCGGACGCCGTAGCATAGGACGTAATACTGTGATGGGACATATTTCATGAGGTTTTTGCGAAATTCGAATACAGGCGGGTCCTCAACAACCGCTCGGATTGTTTGTTTGTGGTTGTCTCATCTAGCGCTTTGGTTTAAAACGTAACCGCAGGGCAGCGGTGGCAAGCAAACCTATTTAACGGTAGATTACGATCGCCATGTCACAATGCCGTCATTGGGTTTTGAGGCCTTTTATAAGGCTTTCGGCGTGCCAGACCTCAGCTCACCGCCCCCTGGTGGCAATGTCGCTGCTGGTCCGCGACTGCTTATTCGTCAGACCTGGGTCTGCTTATTTGGCGGCTGACCTTCACTAAAGGTCGTCCCACTATCCGCCACCCGTGGACGCGCAGGGTAGCCAGCAGCTAGGCTAACGGGCGATCCGTCTTCCCGGTGCGGGTGAACAGAAAACAAATACTTGGTGTTCAATACCTAAATGCGCGACTGTTTACCGCCCCTGTTGGCCAAAGATTGACTACCCAAAATGTGCAGTAATAGAGAATGGGTGCTTAATGTCTGTACAAGCTCCGAATCCGAGCCGCAAGCCTCCGGAGAATCAAGATCTCTGCAGTCGGTTCTTACTTTTCCTTTTATCGCGGCTGCTACTGGACCCGTCTGATAGACACGACGTATCGATCGTCCCCCTGAAACCTGTGAGCACGGTAATACATGTATGGGAGTCAGGCACCGAGCAGCTAGTGCGAGCATGAGGTAGGAGAATCCATGCTACTTTACTTGGCCTTTCTGTCTACATGTCAACAGCAACTTCCGGAAATGGCAACAGATCACCTACTCTCAGCTATAACAACTGGTCAAGAAAGCCCTTGGCCGTGGTCCATTTATATTTGCATGTGATTAGAATGCTCGGGACAAACCCCAGAACTCTTTAAAGGACTGACCTGATGGCTACTTCGGACTGTCATTGGTATAACAACAATCAAAAACAGTCTTGCTCTTGATGGTCAAAACCACGGGTTTAATTGACACTTGCATCTGTTAGCAGAATGACAGTTGTGAGACCAGAGTGGCTCTGGTATAGTTAACCTGAGATTCCGTATCTGTCTGGTCTACAAAGCGGCAATGGCAAATGATCAGATACGGCATCTGTCTGCACATGCTTATAACTTTACCTTTCATCCGTGCTACAAGAACTAGTGAAGGTATCCTAGAAGACACAAAATTATGTCGACCGGAAAAATGCGGGCGACGAACACGGAAGGCTGAGAATGATAAGCAACTGGTAGGATTGTCTTGTTTACTTGGCGGCATAGTAGTTGCTGAATCAGATCACGAGTGCTATCGTCGCCTGTCTAGTCAGTTCAAGGAATGCTGTACAAAGATGTGCAAGCGACCGTCAGCAACTGTCTTCGACCGCGACGTGACCGGAATAACTATTTCTGGCTTATATGACGTTGTCAGACAGTTTAACTCTAACACCTGGTCTAAGGTAACAGAAGGTTTGAACCCTTGTTTTAAATCGGATATGACGCCCTGCAACTTAGGGTACAGGACAGTAAGAGCCTGCAGGCGGAAGGCGTCACAGAGCTATCTTTCTGTCACAACACAAAACGAACACTCGTGTTCGCGATGACCGCGGTCATCCTTGATAGCATTTAGTCGCCCAGGGCTAGACATTTGCTAGCCCGTTTGACTTGCGGCTAGTGCAGGCCAGTAACCTGACTGGCTGAGAGTGCTCCATCTGTGCGAGGAAAATAGCTTTTCTGCTACACCCCCTCCTTGATGCTCACCCGAGTGCATTTTGCACGTCGCGCCTGGAGGGTCCCTTTGTGCGTACGCACGCATGCAGGGTGTACGCATGCACTTTGTCCGGAATTTAGGCCCCTGTCTGGCGACTTAAATCGCCTCGGTCTACAACGTCCTCGGCTCGCCTGAGAAGGCGCGTCAACGTGGTCAGTGTCCGCCAGGATTGCTGAAAAATGCAGTCAATCGCAAGACTAGCCAGCGACCGGGCTAGACCTGGGCGAGTAGAATGCAATCAGAGTATAGCAAAGCTAGTAATTTAATTGGATGGTGGTGCATGTGATGCCATTCACACTAAGGGTTACTGAGTGAGGAAATTTTCTAAAAGTCGGTCAATCGGAAGACTAGCCCGCGACCAGGCTAGGCCCGGGCGACTAAAATGCAATCAGGGATCTCGGTCGCGTCCGCACTAGTTATTTTCTTAGAACTGTTGCACCGGTAAAGTAGCCTCATGTGCGTAAGATTTATGGAAATACGCATAGAGCAAGCCAAAACTATCTCGTAAACATAATATGGATGGCACTAACGAATGGAACGATATGCATTTACCCGCATGGAAAGTCAATGACCTTCAGACGACGCAACCACAAAACCAAAGACAGTTAGGCTCGCCTAGCACCAAGTTGACTCAAGGACAGTCACCGAGATAGTTGATTACATCTGTGATTTTCTATCTGCCAGTTGCAGCGTATCCGGCTCGGGCCGTCAGGACATCATGCCACAAACGCGTGACAAGCGAACGATCAAGGTCATGGCCCCCCCCCGTTCACACCTTCTTTGTGCTGATTGGCCACCCATTAGCCTATGACAGTCCCCCTTGCCATATACCCGGCCGTTCCCACAAGCCTCCTCACTTGTGCTGTCTATCGTACTCAGTACACGTCCTATTTCCAATTACCCTTCTGTTTTGCATACATAACATTGGCGACGCAGCCTAACGAACATGTCTTCATTGCTGCCTACACCGTTACCTTTCTGGCCAAAGAACACCCAGAAGCCCTCAAATGACTCGTGGTTGCAATGGAGGGAGACATTTGAAGATTATATTGAACTGCTCCCGATTTTGTCACCCACGATTGTACTAGACGTCCCATCTAAGTTGAAACTCCTCCGGACGAATCTCGGAGAGTTGGGACAACGATATTTCGATGCCCTCAATCTACAAAAGGCTATAGATCTCCATACAGCCTTCTCAAAACTCGAGTCAGCGTGGGGAGGAAAAGACAACGTCTTTCTCAGTCGCTATCGGTTTTGTCAAATGCGTCAAGAATCCAATCAATGTGTCAGTGATTTTATTACTAATCTGACTCTGGCCATCCAGGACTGTGGGTATAAAGAGACCAAGGCAGACAACTTCGAGCACGCAATGCTCGTTCAACAGTTGATCGTCGGTATGTGCGATGAAAAAGCTCGGGAAAATCTCTTATCAGAGAAGAAGGATTTGTCATGGGAGAAAGCCTGTGATATCGCCAGTCATCGGGAACGCGTGCGACAAAACCTTCAGCAGTTGAATCAGTCAAACGATGGAGTGATAGCATCCTTGGAATCTGAAATGGCTGTCTCCCTAGTAAACACTGCTGTGTCTTCACCTAGACAGCGACCCTCAGCTCCCTCAAAACAACTATCATCCTGCTACCGTTGTGGTCAGCATCATATCCGGTGGTCAGACTGTAGACACCAGAAGACGGTATGGCAGTTTTGCAAGAAAGTCGGCCACATCGAACGAGTGTGTTTCTCCAAAAGACGAGCGAATACTAACACGCATGCAACCTACCCTAATCCAGCTGGGGATGGCGAGGCGATACTCCGAATGTTTTCGGCCAACGCGCCACTCCAATCGCCCCACACCATCACGCTTCCGGTTGATCACCATCCCGTGAAGTTTGAAATCGACACTGGCTCAGCTGTTACTCTCATCAATGAGGCCTCCCTTCAGAAATTACCCTCCCTCCTTCCGGCCAGCTCAACATTCCGTAGTTACACTGGACAGAACGTAGAGGTTCGAGGGGTCTTTACAGCCGAAGTCGAGCATGATGGAGAACTTCATTACTTGCCGGTTCATGTGGTGAGAGGAAGCCAGCAACCAAATCTCCTTGGACGGAATTAGATTAAATGCGTGCCTTCTGTGTTATCCTATGTACATCGGATTGGTGTAAATCCGGCTTTAGATTCAATTTTGGTAAATCATAAGGATCTATTTCGTGACGATTCTACTACCCACTACCGCGGTCCACCTGTTAAGTTTCAGTTTCAGCCAGATTTCCGGCCCCGGTTCTTCAAAGCTCGTACAGTCCCCTATGCAGTCGCACCGAAGGTCGAAGAAGAGCTGGATCGCCTACAGAAAGCGGATATTATAGAACCCGTGCAATATTCGGAATGGGCAGCCCCAATAGTTCCTGTTCTTAAAACCGATGGTTCTG